AGATGCAGCTTATGCTGAGTGTACATTGAAAAACATCGGATTATGGTTTTATTTTTTTGAATACTCGTGGAGACTATTCCATGCACGAATAATTCTGGTATTTTAGATGACGACTTCCATGTCTTGTACTCATCTTATCCAGAGCTGAAATGCACCGAGTACTAGCCGAAGTCAGCCGCCACATGGAACAGCAACACGTCGCTCATCGAAACTTGGACAAAATGCGGGCAGAGAATGAGCAGGTCCTGAAGGATGAAAGCCACCGAAAGGTGAGTAAATCAGTCATGTACATGTAGATGATGCTCCAATGTCAGCTCACCTGGGGTTTTCACTATTCATTAATTTTGAACTTGCATTGTAACGTTACAACCCTGGCTGGTTTGCCGTTATATCAGGCCACCATTTTGTGTTTGTTCAAAAGGATAAGTATTGTGAAGAGAAAGGGACCTATAAGTTAGTAGTTATGACTAACAGTCCACCAAGGTAACAAGATCATATACAGTACGATAGTGCGACAACAAGGCACAAATCTGACAATGATATTGAGACATTCGACGACCTGGCACCTAGTTCCAACCCATCTGTGAAGCGCAAACTAACAACCTTCCAACTTCGAAGGCTCAGGTGCGGAAAGTTCCAATGAGGGGAAGGGATGCTGCGTGAAGAGGTGCACGAGCTATGTCCCTTGGCAACAAAGAATGTCGAACGTTACGGGATAATGATGACGAGACTAGTATTTCCTCCGCGTCATTAAAATTGTCGCTTTCGAGAGCGATGTTTTCAAATTTATTTTTATCCGCTCACAGCAAACAAAACATGTCGAAATCCAGGCAGAGCGTAGTACAGGGCGTAAATTACATGTTACAAGTGTGAAATGACAGTTCCATAATTATTCTTCAGCATCTGAGGCGGGAGAATCGCAGCAACTTTCACCAACTTTTCCGCCGATCAAGCTTTCTTCCAATTCGTCCACGTACTTTTTCGCATCCTCAACGATGCTCAGCGGGACCGATCTATCGTGTGCGTCGCCTTCGGAGGACGACCATCAGTGTGCCGTTCTGCTGCCCATGTGATGGCTGTAGTTGTTGCCTCCGTCGTCGCTCAAAATCCCTTTGAACGAAGCGTACAAACATCACCAAACACCAGTCATGCGCTCTGCAAGGTACTGTTCCCAGCACGTGATCACTGCGTCTGATAAATCGAAAACATTGTCCTTGGCCGCGAGTTCCGTGTCACTTTGCAGGCTAGCGAAAAATGCCAAGTCATTAGCATTCAGATCGGGCGACTGGGCTGGTTGCGTTGTCACACGAATATCAAAGCCCTTCTTGGCACCATGTGTAGCTCAGTGCTTTTGGTTCGCTTTCGCGGTGTGAGGTCTCGCACCATCATGTTGATACCAGAGTGTCGTGCCTGCTTCCTTCTCGCCTGAGTTCCTTTTGAACCACAATATTTTCTCTCGCATGCTGTCGAACACACCGTCTTTCCTGAGCATCACCTTGCGATATTCTTCAGCTGTGACAGTCACAAGTTCAAGAACATCAGTCTCTCCGGCCACCGTCCCAGTCCTTGCGTTGCTTCGTTTCGCCTTTCGAGTGATGGTGAAAGGCCAAATGCCAATTTTACCATCAAACTCATGGTTCGCCGTGACTGCCAGGAACATGATCTTGGGCATTCGGGACTTGTGGTAGATCTTAGGATCTGCGGGCATTGTTACGACTCGCTCAACCTCGCCTTTGGTCTCTGTGAAGCGAGGGAGAACACGTGCCACGGGTCTGTCACGCATTCGATAGAACCACTTCTCATCACCGCGGCACGTGTTCTCACTGTTGCCAAACATTCCTGTGTCCTTGTCGTACTCGTCAATCACCCAGCGGATCCGGTTGCATCATGTTGAGCTGTCAGCTTCGGCTTCACATATCTGCGGCGGTGAGTCGCTCCCAGCGCTTTGCACTACCTACGCACTGATGCGGTGCTGCACTCATGGCCAGCTGCATTGAGTTTGCCGCAGAGTTTCTTTGTTGACAACTTGCCCCAGTACCTGTCGTTGGTCTCGATGAGAAATTTCGCTACGTCGACTGTGAGCATGAGTTTGTGGCCTCCCACTTTACTGCGCTTCGGCTGAGGTCAACATCTTCGTCAGAGTTGAGGCCGACTCAGTCTGTTCACGATAGCTCTTGACAAGACGCTGACCAAGACGCTGACCAAGACGTGCGTTCAAATTCAGCTCAGGAAACTTCTTTCTCAAGCGATCCATGTCTCCAGGTGGCAGGCGATTACGGCCACCTAGCATTTTGAAGTACGCCGTAGCGACTTTCCAGCGAGATTGGGTAAGCAAATCCCCACCTTCTTTCTCGTCAAGCGCTTTACAGATTTTGTTGGTGTTTTCAGACCTGCTGCCTTCGCAGCAACACGCGCCACACGTGGCAGTTTTCTAGGCGTTTGTGGATGCTTTGTTCTTGCCATCATCACCTTCAGCAGTTTGAAATTCAGGAGAGACACAGGATTCTTATACCCAAGCTTGAAGTCACGACAGATGCCCACGCGAACGATGTGGATCGGCATGAACCGCAGAAAAAGATTCGGCGTTCTGGGGCGGAATCTTGCGAAAATGGATGCATTTGTTTGTTGTGAACGGAAGCTCCGACACTGCCACGGCTCGTATAACTAGTAGACATTGCGTAGGAAGAGTCGGACCAACGTCGGAACATGGAAAAAGGCGATTCCGACAACCCGACAAAGCGAAGTAAGTCACGAAAAGTTACGATTCGGGAAGCGACAATTTTAATGACACGGAGGAAGTAAGACCACTGGGCAAACCGGTCTACCTAGAACTCGAAAACGCAAGGCAACAGACCACCCAACCTGGGAGGTCATATCTAGTAACTACTAACTTATAGGTCCTTTTCTCTTTACATATCACTATTGGCTCAACATCCGAGTTTGTATTAAGGACACCTGATGAGCCGTCACCAGCAATACGGCAAAACGTACATCGTGTGAAACCACTTGTTATTGTACCCAAATTGTCCATCATCGTTACATCAACATCGAGTTTAGTACTTGGTCCGCGTCAGCGATATTGTCGCTTATCTTTCGACAATTTGAACTTAGACTTTGGATATCAACAAGTGCACTTAAAACGATAAAACTTGGTATGATGGAAGGTAACGTACAGAATGGCAACTAGCCATGAGGAATTTCTTGTCCAAGGAAGGGTTCATACTTTTTGGTCCTCCTCGTCGCTGCTCTCGGCGCTGGTGACAAATATTTTTTGCTCAGGATCGACACTCTCGCTTTCGCAAGCTCATCCCTCTTCCTCTCCGCTGCCTGGCTATTTTCTAATGGGAAGTCGACCGTGACGATCGCCTTCTCTATAGGACTTCGCGTGGGCAGCACGCCTGCCTGTGTGGTTCAAATCAGTCGCCGTTCTTTGCAAGATTTATTTTGAACGACGATGACTCGTACAGTACTTGCGAATCGCCACGATTCGCTGGATACTCCGAGCGTTGCGCTGGAGGTGAGGGAACTGCGATCTCAGCTTGGCGAGCGATCCCTGAGGTGAGCGATCTCGGCCGTTTTTCAAATGGAACTGATTCCGAGTAGCCGATTACTTTCTTGTGCATCGCGCTGCTCTTGCCTGCGCAGTGTGACAAGATAATCTATTTTGATGCGGCGCTGTACCAATCAGAATCACCAACCTGTCGCTCTCGAAATCCACTTGAAATCTAGCTAGACCTTTCAGGTACTAGAAAACTAACCTACTAACCAAAATTGGGATGAAATGGGCTGCCAAGTGAGCATTGGCGACATAGTAACAAAACTGAAAGATATGCGACAATATTGCTGACGCGGACCAAGTAGGATATTGGCTTTCGGTTCATGACAGTTCGTCTTTGCTTGGCTTCAACTCTTTATGTATTTTTACATACTTTTGAGCCTCCCAGGTTGGGTGGTCTGTTAATCGATTTAACCTTAGGTTTAAACCAGACTGTATTCTTATGCTGGTATTCTTCTTCTCGTATTCTTCTGCAGAAATCTGAGCTACACGAGATGCTGTCGAGTTCGCATGCTGAACTTGACCAACTGAAGATCAAGCACAAATCACTAAAAGCCGAGTATGAACAACTGAGGCAGCTGCGCAAGGATGATCAGAGGTAGGTGGACTCAATGGCTGTCAACCCTGAAAAGCCTTTCGCTGGTTAATATTAAGGATGTTTGGGAGGCATTAGGGGTAGTCCGTAATTATCGAAAAATTAAAAAATCCGTCCTCGTGCATAATTGTCTCTGAAACACCCACCCACCCCCCATTTTTTCCCATTAATTTTTTGATTTTTACCAGCTCGAAAATAAGAACTCCTGACCCCATGTTCACTGATTGCACCTACATGTACATGTACATGTACATTGTAGTAGCTAAAATGTCAAAAGTACTAGTAGCTATTAAAGTAAGTGAGTAGGAGGTCTACCGACGGCCATGCACGTCCTACAACTACATGTACATGTACATGAAGAGACATGTACCGGTATATCATACTGGTGTTTGCGATCCTACACTACGTCTACAGTGCACTACAATCATGTCAGTGCAGCAAGTGTACCAAAATCACTGAAGAAAGAAAAAAAAAAAAAAAAGGTATGAAAAATCAAAAAATTAAATTCCGCCAGCGCTCTTGACCACCCACCCCCTTTCTGCCTGAGGACGGATTTTTGAATTTTTCGAAAAATACGGACGACCCCTTAATTCTAAATTCTCTGTTTCTGGCTGCAGGGCACGTCGCAGGCTCGAATCTCGTCTGGACAGAGTCAACGACACGCTGTCTCAGACTCAGTCGTCCCTTGGCAGTTCGTTTACCGATCGAAGCTTTTTGGGAGGTGCATCGATGCTTGGAAAGTCTGCTGGACCCGACCCGCTGCTCAGCTCCACTCCACATAAGCCACTCAAGTAGAGGGGCGGCTTCATGATCGATTCATGATCCTAGTCGGAACTCCTCACGACTTAGCATATCCAAGGTGCACGCAGCTATGAAATATGCTCTTCATGGATGAGGCAATGAACCTCCTCGCTCGCATCTCATGTGTCATTGCTCATATGGTTGCTATGCCTACTTAGCACTTTTTTTTGTAGCCAGCACAATTTCAGTGGAAAATCACCAAACTTCTTATCTTTCGGATGTCAAAAATGCCAAAAAAATCCAAAAATAGAAAATTTCCAAAAATTTATCCGCAGTCCTATTTATGAACACCGTATTTGGCCAATATGAGTGTTTAATTTTTTTGTGCCCAAAGAAAAAAAACACTGAAAATGTGCATAATACCATATGCTGGACATTCTTTTTACTTGCTTGCAGGATACCTATTCAGATGTCGGAAATATTTGTGATAAGGAGATGAATCACATCATTGTGAGATCAGATCGAAACATTGTTTCATTCGTATACTTTTGTTCAAAGATGCGTTTGTACTGTATGTTATTTATTTATTCACTGCTTTGAACAATGTTGCTTCCATGGCAACATGCTCTAGTAGTAGTGGTCCGTTGATCATACATTATTCTTACGTGCTCGTACTTTCTACAGCACGTTGATCATACATTATTCTTACGTGCTCGTACTCTCTACAGCACGTTGATCATACATTATTCTTACGTACTCGTACTTTCTACAGCAGTGTTGTGTTGTACGTACATGCAAGTCGTGACAACAGTCTTTCTTGCCTTTTTGGTTCCCGGTGTGCATCTACGCCTACCTGGGTTTCTATCTCTATGTCTTCAGTGCGGATCCAAAACCTTCACATCGCCACACTACTACAGAGAACCATCCTCGATATCCATGTTGCATAGACACACAGGAAACATGCTGTACCCAGTGCTGTCTGTGATGAACTTCGAAAAGAATGTTAACATTATAACCGCCGGAAGCCTTTTAGTTTTTGGGCTGGTCTGGCCATAACCTTCATAGCCTGCCATACTTTGTGGATGATACGGCACGTACATGTACACATGACCTCAGCAGCAAACACGGTGGAATTTAGAGGCCAAAAGGCCAACCCGGACTGGTTTGTAGTGGGCCTGTACATGCACTGCGCTCTTGTGCGAAACGCGCGTGTTGATAGTGTCCTAGGCTTGAAGACTGTGTGGGGTGTTGTTGTTTCTACTTTGAAGTAGCATACACATGTTTCCTAGCTGCTAGCTGCACAAGTGGTGGTCTATACAATGTACATTATACTTCAAAGTACTCTGAAGTAGAATAGTTGCGTCTACAATATCTAAAAAATTCAGAAGTACTAAAAAAAACCAGTTTTGCAGTGGCTGGGTGAGTTCCGGTTTGTTTGCAAATAGCCTGTACTGTTCTGTGGTAAGGTGTACTAAAACCGTTATCACAAAGGCACAAAGAAGGTCTGTAGACTGTTTGTTGCCAAACATGGCAACAAACTCTACAAAACCTGTTTCGAGTGCCTCCGGGCTGTTGTGTGTAAAACTTGTATCAGAAATACGAAACCGAACGCTCCACAATAAAACCAATTCTTACTCTGGCAAGGCTTTTCATACCTTTGAAGCTACAGTGAAACATCGTTAGGAAGAACATCGACAAGAAAAACTTTCGCTTTAGAAGAACTAGTATTCATAGCTCTATTGGATAAATCACTGTGTATTCACTGGGTATAAAATATGGATAAGAAGAACTCCCGTTATTACGAACAAATACCATCGGTCCCTTGGTGTTCGTCCTAAAGAGGTTTGACTGTACTTTGAAAAAGTACAACCTAATAGTGCCTACACCACAATGCCGTTTTCCGGACCTACAATACCAGTGATCTTACTTCCACGAAAGTACATATCCTCCAGACTTTCATGTACAATGCCGGCCGATTTTTCAAAGCCACACTGGGTTTGGTATGTATCAGCCATGATGTACGAAGCACAAAAAGAGAGTGAAAAATCGTTTTCTGCACTCAGCAGAATGTTCTGAACAATATCATTTTCTATAATATTCAAAAGAAAGGGAAACAGACGCATCAGTTGACTTTGGCTGCATGACACATTGAGATACAATAAAGACGAGACTATCGAGCGGCTTGTGGTTGCATCTCCTCTCAAAGACCCAGGAGAGACCAACACAACAAGTTACATTGAGTAGGTCGATGGAAAACTCAGCACCTTGAGGTTTTGGTTGAGATTAGAGGAGCTAGGAGATGATAGTGGCAGTATCATCGTCAGTCTCACCAGCATCTGCAGTGCTATCAGAAGACTCTTCAAGCTTGCTAATAGAGCTGCCCTGGCGCTCAAACCTTGCCCTGGCACCATTGTATGCCTTGCCAGGCCGGCGATGCCTAAATGGAAAACAAGATGATATTCAGGACATCATTTACATGTATACATCAGAGGTTGCATCCTATTCATCTCGCTGAGAGCTTTCTAAAGCACCAATGTTCATGGAAATCGTCCAAATGAAACCCGAAGGTATTCGCTAAGAAGGCAAAACAATAGTAAATTTGGCAAATAACTTAAAGGGTTTGTCAAACCATGGTGTTAGCCTATCAGCATGCATTCAACAGGGCTGACACAGTGCATTTAGTGCTGGAAAGGTTGTAAATGCACTACTCATAGGACAATTTCCTTTCCTTTTTCCACACACTCTTCTTCCTCATGATGATCATAACTATGGGTGAAACGATTATACCGAATACTCGAAATAGAAATCGTTACAAGCTAACGACTCGATTATTCGAAATGTTTTGATAACTCGATTATGCACACAGTATACACGATTGTACTTCAGAAGTACACGTATGATTGGAGACCACGGGTATCACCCCGATGTGTGAGGAAAAATCTCTTGTCCATAGGATCAATTTAAAATTTCTAAATGTTCGCATTTTTTCAGCTTCTAATGACTGCTTTTTATGTCGGTGGAAGAAATAAACGAAAAATAACCGATTACGGATCGATAAAGGTTTAGGTTATTCCGTAGTGAAAACGTGTAATCGTTTCCCCCCAATCATAACCTCTATCCTGCTTGGCTAGAGCAAGCACTTTGCCTGTACATTGTATTTGCCAGCACTTCTTTGCCTGTATTTGCCAGCGTGAGCAGAGTGTGGAATCTGTATAATCAGGACAGTGAACATACAGCTACTTGTAATTCAACACTACATCCTGCTTGATTGGCCAGGAGGATCATGTGAAGTCACAATGAAGTTCTCACTTGCGAAAGTCAGAATTACTGCGATGCTGTCAGTACGATCAGCTTGTCCTCTACATGCATGGCTGATTTGAAATGAAAACCTGTTTTTTTCCGGACTAAACCAGCGAAACCATAGCCTTTATAATTTTTGTACAGGCATAATTGATTCCATTATACAAATACACCACTCTCCAGGTTCCCGTTTTTCATAATCATCTGCATTAAATTTTGCTTGCAATATCACATAAATCCTTGTCCGTCATAGGCCTTACTTTCTAAAGAGGAGGTAGGACACTGCCAGAATCAAGAGAAGGAGAACTCCAGCGCCTATGCACACTCCAACAATTATCGTTGTCTTCGACTCTGTGTTCAACAAAACGAGAGAAAGAGAGAGAGAGAGAGAGAGAGAGAGAGAGAGAGAGAGAGAGAGAGAGAGAGAGAGAGAGAGAGAGAGAGACACACACACACACACACACACACACACACACACACACAGACGGAGGGGGGGGGGGAGGGGAGACAGAGAGACTTGCTGAGGTCACCATTGTGTCGATACTGAAAAGTAATGACGGGGATCATCTAGCAGCTTTTGTTGTTATGTGTGGTGGTGATTGTCTTGATTTGTCTTCCTCAAGCAAAATATCTGCACTGTACTATTGCTCGTAAGCCATGATGTGTGCATACCGTTACAAGATAAACAATTCCTCAAGTCTTGGCTGGAAGGTAAAAAAAGCATTCTGACTGTGTTGGAATCTAAACCCAATTAGGAAACATACTACCCAGCTTCACAACATGAGTGAAGCAATAGGATGCTCTGTCTTTGACCACTTTTTGTTGGCTCTAAGATAATCATACTCATCTCCTCCACAACAGGAGTTGCATTCGACGAATTGATCCTTGCCGGTGATGGTGCGATTCACATCATTACGGATGCACAAAGATCCCTCTAACTGATTCCAATGCGATCCATCAAATCAATTCAAACAGAAATTCATGATTTCCTTTGCTATGACTCACGTGCAACAGCCTTTGCCTGAGAATCCGGCGGTGGCTCTTTTTCGGTGCTGGGCTGAGTTGAAGCAGTTGACTCTGTAATATTGACATCTGCAACATATGAAGATCCGGCACGTTTTGCAACGACATTTTCTGCTGGATAAACAAGGGTGCTGGATTATCAAATCCTGCCCTCCAACCCGGCCCACCTATTAACATACATGTTTGTGTTGTACGTCAAAACGTAGGGATTTTCTATGTCAATCGAAGTACTTTGTGGAATGCATGTCTATAACATACACTTGAGAATATCCTATGCACTTTCATAAGATATTCCCAAGTGTATGTTACATGTGTTGTGTATGTTACAATGCTCCCTGACGGTATGCGAAGTACAACTGCTGGATTAGAAAGTCGAATTATGTACAGTTTGAGTGATTTGTTGCAGAAAATCGCTGCTGGAGGCGGAATTTAAGAGCCGGATTTAGGCCTTGACGGATTATGCTAATATTTTCGTGAAATTATGCTTTTCTGAAAAAATTGCAGAATTATGCTATTTTTATGGTAAAAGTTATCATTATTATGCCGCATTATGCTCACATATGCTGCTAATGCATAATGGTTCTGGGCAAAATAACAGGTGAATTTTTTTGTAGAGGTACCGGTACTGTCGTAGCAAAAGTTCAATGGGGTCAACGCACCGTCCGACCTAGCTACGACCATCACTGATTGTACATTTTTTGTAGTGGACTGGACATGTTATCAAGGGAGTCGTAAACCTACAACTTCCTAGTGCATCTACCGGTACATGTACTTGTACTTGTAGAACATGTACAACTGTATGGAATTTGATGCGAACAGGCGGATTACAATTTTATGCGATTCGTATGCAATTTGCCTCGAATTATGCGATTACTCGATTTTGGTAGGAATTATGCGAAAAATTATGCTAGCATAATCTGTCAAGGCCTAGCCGGATTTAAGCATGAACTGAAAAAATCCGTTTTGCCAGAAAGTGTGCTGGTTTGCAAGGGTGCTGGATAAACAAGTGCCGGATTAGAGAGGGACGACTGTAGTATTACACATTTGAATTGATATCTAGTAACAACATACAGCAGAGGGTTTCCAATGTTCACAGATACATGTACCGGATTGGACAGAGCATTCAACAGAAGAGGGACCTGTGTGTTTGGTTGTGACTCAGAATCTCACGCAGAAGGGATCCTCATATTACGGTAAAACAATAATAGCAAAACGGGAAAACATGATTTTCTGTCCTTGACCACTTTATAATAATGTTGGAGGGGTGCCTGTGGCATATGCTACATTTCACAATAGATTGCAAGCATGTGGCATAATCATCTTGGTGGTGGTCACTACTGGCATGGCTAAGATAACGGGACGTAAGGTTCACAGGTACAATGGCATGGACTAACTAGGTCATTGTCTATTCACTGCAAGATCTGGTGAAAATGGCGCGGAATAATGAGGTCTTAGTTCTCATTCATGGCAGTAGTAATATGAGGATGATCCGTGTTGGTTGGGTTCCATCTAACAATACATCAAAAATATAATCTTTTCACTCACAAAGCAACTGTTCAGTACATGGGGTAGTGGTCTACCAGAGCAATCACACTCAACTACCACGAGGAAAAGCGAAGACCACGATGGCACGTTCAACGGAGTTGTGCAGAACAAGAGCAAACGCATGAAAATATTTGCGAGTGAAAAATACGTTTTTTGCACTCTTTCGCTACGCTCAGCCGTGAAAAAACAAAACATTTCAGGCCGAAATTCATGATTCTGTGTGCTATGACTCACGTGCAGCAGTCTTAGCTTGAGACCCTGGTGGGGGCCTTGTTTCGGTGTTGGACTCAGGTTACGTTTGGTTGGTCACATTTCCAAATGGGAATCACTTGGAATCACTCGGAATCATTCTCGCCCGTTTGGTTGGTCAAAAAAGTGCGTTAGGTTGGTCACATTCCACATGATTCCAGAATGGGAATCGCTGAGAATGATTCTTTTTGGAGAATGATCATTCCACCTCTCATTCCGGAATCAAAAATGATAATGGCTGCCACGAGCCAAACAATGTAGCAACAGGTTCAAGTGCCTCAAATCATGCACTCAGAAGTACCTTGACTCTCTCAAGGAAACTAGAGTCGGGTAAAAGAAAATACAGCTGCCGTTCCACAACGACATCATGGAATTGTTATGTCAAGTGATTCCTAATTGATTCTGGCGCGTTAGTTTGATCAGGTGATTCTTGCCGATTCCCATTCCAGAATGGTTGTCATTTACATTCTGAAAATGCCCAACCAAACGCAACCTCAGTTGACGCAGTTGACTCAGTAGTTTTGCTTTCGGCCAGGGAACATTCCGTCACAAAATAGATGCAGAGAAAAAACGTGACCCGTCAATTCTTTCTAAAACTGGATAGCTGGTATCACAGTACATAACAACACATAAATCATAAAATCATTTCACGCAGAAATTCATGATTCTGTGTGCTATGACTCACGCGCAACAGTCTTAGCTTGAGAACCTGGTGGTGGCCTTGTTTCGGTGATGGCCTCAGTTGATGCAGTTGACTCAGTAGTTTTGCTTTCTGGAATATTTTATCACAAAATGGATGCAGAGAAAAAAGGTGAGCCCGGGGGAGGGGGGGGGGGGGTGATCAAATCGATTCTTTCTGAAACTGGATAGCTGGAATCACAGTGTGTAATGACACATATAATTATCATAAAATCATTTCAGGCAGAAATTCATGATTCCGTGTGCTATGACTCACGTGCAACAGTCTTTGCTTGAGAAGCTGGTGGTGGCTTTGTTTTGGTGTTGGACTCAGTTGACGCAGTTAACTCAGTAGTTTTGCTTTCTGGAACATTCCGTCACAAAGTAGATGCAGAGAAAATAACGTGAACCGTCAAATAATTTCTTTTTAAAACTAGATAGCCGGTAACACAGTATGTGGCAACACAGTATGTGGCAACACATAAATCCTAAAATCAACCCGCGCAGAAATTCATGCGACCCTTTGGTATGACTCACGTGGAGCAGTCTTTGGTTGAGGATCAGGCGTTGACTTTGTTTCGGTGATGGACTCAGTTGCGTTGCTATCTGGCACATCCCAACCAGAACCTTCTGCGGCAGGGACATTGGTATGCTTCGGGTGGGGACGGGTCAATTTTGGACAGAGTGGACCTTAGGAAGACAAAAAGTGACGCAACAGATGAAAAGATGAATGAACGAAACAAGTACTGCAATTATTGACTACTATGTAGTGGTACTGATACTAGGGTATGAATGTAGAAGCAAAGGCCCTTCAAGGGTTTAGATGTGCCTCAGGGAATGTACTTATTTATTTATTTTATTTTATTCCAAGCAATAAATGGCTGGGGTAGCCAATGACCACTTTGCGTGGCGATTGCAGGGTTTTTATAGCCAATAACGGCTACTTGCGGGCCATGGGTTACGTATACTTCATAAACTAGCACTAGATGAGTGTACATAAAGCCAAAGAGGCATGCACCTAGCCCGATAATTTCATGAACCCTCGTGTGCAGTGATGGCAATGAAAAGACAGCCTTGTGAAAAACAGTCAGTGCTGTGTGTATGCTGCTCGTGAACACTATAACATGTTTCCGTGTGTGCTCTGTGCTCTGTATTGAATTGTGGGTGATTAAACGTTAAGGTAAAGTTAGCCCACAGTCAATACTAACTACATGTACAGCGGCAAGAGGGGTGTCCACTGCAATGCGGACTGTACTCACCATCTGTGGTGTTTCGACAGTCACAGGCGTATCCTTGCCAGTCAAGAGTGCTGCGGCACATGTAATCTTCGAGACATGGGCTGGATGCACACGCATCCACACGGTCTTCGTATCAAGAGGTGATTTGCGAACATGAGAAGCAACGGTACACACACATGCACACACAAATACACATACACATGCACACACACACACACACATGCAAACACATGAACGTTGGATGACATTTTAGGGAAAGAAATTTACCCGGCAGAATGTAAATAAATATTTGTTCGCATCAATGAATAGACAACTGCTTGGGTCGCATATGCATGGCACACCAATGCATGATAATACCAATGCATGCATGCATTGATAAATGAAGTTGATGATGTGCAACGTACCAATGCATGCTCTGGACTGTACGGGTAGGTACTTGAACTGCGTACTAGAACAGTGGTAGCCATTGCCTAGATCACGGAACGCACACTCGGCCGTCAGGGCACCACTGCTACAGTTAGCATGGCAGAACTTGCTGTTGCACTCCACGCAAGATTTCTGATCGTCGAACAGTTGAATTTCATATCTCGAGCAGTCTTGCAGTGGAACAAATGTGACATACTGTCAGCAAGTAAACACACATCAAAGAAGGATAATAATGAAATGAAAAACCCTTGCATAGTACAGTACATGAACAACCTTCTAATAGTCTAACGGAGTATGATCTTGATAGCTGACCGAACGTAGTCAGAAAGCCATCATTGGAAGTGTCTAAACCAGCCTCTATCGAGGCGAACCGAACCTTAGGATGTGCATAATGCCATCATATTATAGGCTATTTCACTCCCTTGTCATGACATGAGATCACTCTCTTCTCTGTTTGGCTCTCGTTTCACCTCTCTTGCATGTTAATGAGTCTTGTCGAGTACAGAGCACACATAACTATCAACCGCTCACAGTCACGTTGCGAGGACAAAAACCCTTTTCACTCTCATGTCCAGATTACAAATACATTTCATGTGGCATTAAAAAAAGAACAGGATACACCAGTACAGTAGTACGTGTTCCTTATAGGGATCTACTTGTAGTGGAGAGCTGGCGGGTACTGTACAGTGCAGTAGACATTTGGCTAAGTCATGAACTAATACTGCTGTAGAGAGATGCCGTAATGCGCAGTGTAGAGCTATAAAGAGAAGAGACAGTAGAAAGTATCTATGGAACCATACAGCTAGTGCATAGTGGGTATGTACACACACATGCACACAGACACACACACACACACACACGTACGCACACACACACACACACACACACACACACACACACACACACAAGATAACATTACACAATTTGACCCGTCGTACTAGCTATCTTTCTTTCCGTTTCCTGTCTCTTTCCCTTTTGTCTCTCTCTCTCTCTCTCTCTCTCTCTCTCTCTCTCTCTTTCTCTCTCTCTCTCTCTCTCTCTCTCTCTCTCTCTCTCTCTCTCTCTCTCTTTTTCGCCATCTTAATTTTTTCACTTTCATATACATTTTTGAGTTGTAAATGGACACCATTTTTGGTCACTGGACAGTGGACACCCCCTCAGAATCTTGTCTACCATTCCCTCTAAAGATGATAACAAGCGAACAACATACCGACTTGACAGGAAAGCAGGTACCAGCTAGGAAGCACTGGTATGCTGATCCATGTGTGAAGTGCCACCGAATCTCTGCACATGAGTTAGCCCAAATACATGTATACAGAATATGATAATCAGCACACGGGCAGAACTGTTAGAATTTCGCCTGTCAAGGCATCAACACGTTTCATGTTACTACATACAGCAAAACTTGGTTTAAGCAACCTCCCCACGGTGCAAGCAAAAGCGGTCGTTAAAGCCAGGTGGTCTTTAGAACCAGGTCCCACAGCGTCTGTGTAGAACTGTCGGTGCATGGAAAGACGGTCGTTAAGAGCAGGTGGTCGCTAAACAAAGAGGTCGCTTACACTAGGTTTTACTGTGCACGGGATCAGTTTACAAATGTGGTCCCTGCATACAAGTGGTCTTCTTGTCCAGGGTCATTGGACTGAAAATAGCATCCCTTGGTCCCGGTTGCAGTAGTCTTCTTGGACAGGTGGTCGCCGTCACATGAACAGAGTGGTCGCCTTGACAGGTTTCGCTGTACTGTGACATACTGGATTCATTGCCACACACCTACACAGCACATATCTGCATGCATAACGATTATGGACTTACTCAGACACTGTTTGTTGACAGGCCAGTACTCTCCGCTTGCAGGACATCGCGTACAATCGGTTGCTAGTGGGCCTGTGCATTCTGCACATGACTCGTGGCACTCTGACATATACGCAGTGGGTTAGAATTAAAGAGTCCACGTTACACCAAGGAAAAACATTATAATTATAATTAAGCATAATTATTACCTTCAACCTGAGGATCACCGGCATATAAAACTAAGCACAGCTGAGACTTGTACATGTTCCATTATCAAGAGGTCGAATACAGTAGAAAAATGTGAAGTTCACACAGCGAGGGTGAGACGATAATTCTCGTAACTAGTGCCCAACAGAAGAAGGGGGGGGGGGGGAAGGGACTGCGTTAGCTGCATCTGTGTTAAGAGTAAAGTTCACACATCTGCGTTACCACCGGCCATGTACATGTAATTGTGTTGAGAAACACAACCAGCTTTACGAAGTTTCTCCCGCGCCGCTAGGCTGGTGTACTGTAAAACCGGAAAGTCTAACGAGTCACAAAGTCGTTTTAACGACCAATTCTTTTTCGTTATTTGAAAATACGTTATCGCTAGATGCCTGTGTAAAGATGCGCTTACAGATGAGTGGCCAGGTAGCCATCGTTAAACTTTCTGCACGCTATCATGCCAAAATTACAAAAACGTTTACTTTTTGGTCGTTAGACTTTCCGGTTTTACAGTAATCAGGCCATGCAGGCCTGGTGGTATACTGTAATCAGGCCTGGTGGTATACTGAAGTATGTTGGGATAACAAAAGTACCTCAGATACGAATGCGCTTTCTGTTAAAGGGGAAGTTAAGGCAAAAATTAAAATTTCACCAGTTGTAGTCTTCGGGGTGCTGAGTCGAATGGTCTTGGTCCGAGAAAGCTGAGACGCTCCCTTCCTACTTGAATCCCAATCCAACTCGCGCACTTCCACCGAAACTGGGTGACTGCGCCCTACAAGATGGGGATTTGTATGCAAAATTGCACTAAAAGCGCCATTTCGTTCTTAAAAGAGCACGGATGACCACGATTGGCCCATATGTTGTAGTCTTTTGGACGCTGAGTCGACTGGTTTTGGTCCGAAAAGGCTGCGATGCAGCGTTCGCCCCTAATTCCCAATCGAACATGGTTGAACAAGCGGTCACGTGCTCCTGCGTACACCAGTCACCTGGTCACCGTGCCTGCAGGGTACAACTTACAGCCTGTTTTGACCTTTTTTGGGTGCAGTCCTGTCACTCGAGTTGAACCTTGGTGTGAAAGTTGTCGCCTGCTGGCGTGGTGACCAGGTGATTTTGGCACCCAGGAGCACGTGACCACTTCTTCAACCATGTTCGATTGGGAATTAGGGGCGAACGCTGCATCGCAGCCTTTTCGGACCAAAACCAGTCGAACCAGCGTCCAAAAGACTAAAACATATGGGCCAATCGCGGTCATCCGTGCTTTTACAAGAACGAAATGGCGCTTTTAGTGACATTTTGCATACAAATCCCCATCTCGTAGGGCGCAGTCACCCAGTTTCGGTGGAAGTGCGCGAGTTCGATTGGGATTCAAGTAGGAAGGGAGCGTCTCAGCTTTCTCGGACCAAGACCATTCGACTCAGCACCCCGAAGACTACAACTGGTGAAATTTTGATTTTTGCCTTAACTTCCCCTTTAAGGTTACCCAGGGGGGTATGTCTTAGTAGAGTTTTCCTTTTTGAGCTCAGATATCATCGTGTCTCTTCTCTACATGGCAGCTTTGCTTAGTGTTTCTTCTATTTCTATCCTGATGTTCTTCCCGTTTCTTCACCTGAGATATTTCTCCAAGAACCAGTAAAAAGGAACGCAAACATGGAACACACTACTCAGTGAATACGAGTATACGTAGCGGACAGGCAAATATTCACGAGTGGATATCTGGTGAATACCGTAGAATCCCGCGGATAAGCCCATGGGCTTATCTGTTTCACAAGGACATTTCGGTGGGCTTATACGAGAACATGGGCTTATACGCGGACATGGGCTTATACGCTGACACCAACATTGTGCTATTGAAAAGTACCAAGGAAGTGAGAAGTACGTTGCTGAAAGCCACTGTGCAAACAAAAACAACCGATGATTGTGTTGAAATGTACAAAAAACACTACATGTACTAGCTACATGTACATGGTACGACCAAGAGTCCATAATTTATGGATTCTTGGTACGACTTAGGCCCATGGGCTTGTATGACGAAGCCTTGTGATGTTCGAACTAACTTTCCCTGGGCTTATGCGCGGGCATGGGCTTATACGCGGGTGGGCTTATCCGCGGGATTCTACGGTATGTAGGGAAGCATTAGTGGCAATATGTATATCAACATGTTCCAAACACACTATCCTACAATCTCCGATCCAGATTGACTTCGTGGTAAAGTCTATCCTCCTCTTCCAATCACCAATATAGCCTCTGTTGAACATCAAAACAAATGGGTATGCAGTTTCATAGTATTCTAGAACTTCTACATAGTCCCAGAAAACAAAATTTGAGCATGCCCCACTCTGAGCAGGACATAGACACAATCACATCGATCTCTGTTGACTCACTTTCGCAATGACGGATTCTGTAAAAACGCCTGTCGGGAAGCTGCGCGTTCACACCCGGGTACCGACATTGATTGGGAAACAGCTTGTGAAGGACACAGTCGCCCATACTGGAGCTGTTGGTGCATGTCGGACATCCATCCAGGCAATGTTGACAGCCATGAGCAAATTCCTGGTCAAAGCAATCGACAGTGAGCACAATCAGTGTGCATAGTCAACCGGTAACCTTAGTGTAGAGTATAATTATATCCGAAAATTCATGATCTAGGAATGTTGCCTGATGATCGTAGTAATACGTGAAACTCAGAGTTGTGACAAAGCTTCTAATCTCTCTCTTGAGATCTAGGAATAGTAGGATTTGTGTCATCACACGCAGCTGATCCACACGTAGATCTACGTGCACGCCAACTGGTGCCATGCCAGTGCTAGTACTAGTGATCATGGTGATTATTATGACTGCATGCTGTTTATACAAAGACCTTGGCTCTCCATCTGAGTTCATTACTGTATGCTGTCGTGTCGTGTGTTTGAGGCCGGCCACGGCGAGTGGTAAATAACTATCTAGGACTTAGGTATGGTGCAAAGACGAGTAAGTCGTAAAAACTAAAGTCTTTCGAACATAGACTCACAGAATCATACCCAGACTATACTAACGCCTGTGGACGAACATTTCCACCGACAAACTACTACTTTCTTGTTATCTACGCTCTCGGTCTACACCATTTTACTACATGACATTGTACTAGTATACAACAAAAGTCATGTACTCGTAGATGTACCTCTAGAGAAGTAACGGGTACTATATGTCTGCATAACTTATAATGCATGATCCAAAAATGGCAAAATGCACCAGGTCCGACACGTTTAACACCATGATTGATGATGTTATAATGTTTCCATTCGCCCATGATTCGGATAGGAAAGCGGGGTGCTATCCGTACCTGCACCAACCACATTCGATAATGTCAACAGTCATTGCTGCTCACCTTCTCAAAGAACCCTGGTGGGCAAACTGGTGGGGTGTGCGGGTCATGAGCACAGCTGACACTGCATCCCTTGCTAGCACGTACCTGATACCTCGTGGCACCTCCTGAGTTTGAGCAGTGTGAAACACAGGAGCACCAATGCCAATGGTTACGATTGTGCTTAGAACTACTCGTACTACTCGTACCGCGGCCATCATGATTATCGTAGATCTACTCGCACATGCACAATCAATGTGTTCAGTCCATTTGCGGATTGGTCACCCCTCTATAATATACCGCAGTGTTGTGGGAATAACTTGTATGAGAAGCTGGGCCATGCAGGGCCAAACTTTGTTTTCAAACTCAAAGCCATTCGTGCCATGATTTTACTGTTATGTCAGCCTCCGCAACGAACGCAGTACACGTTTGCAATGCCATTACGTTCTTCTGACAGAACCTGAGTCTTCAAGTGTTGCCTTATCCACATGATCTATTCAAAAAAATGATAATTATGCACTTTCGCGTCCAGGTCAGCCGTGGTGAGACACAAGTTGACAACCCACACTATTCGCTTATGCCGGTCAGAGAAGGGTCAATACAACAAAATGAAAAGATATGACAAGATCTTGATCTGTTTTTAAAACAGATCAAGATCGTGCAAAAATGGAAACAAGGAAAACGGCGGGGCGCAAGTTATTGGTTAGAGGCTACCAACTAACCATAATACTTATTTTGAACAGTCAGACGTGCATACGGTAGCACCAGAGTGACAAGGAGTACTGAGACATTCCACGGCAAGGAAGTGAGCTTGAGCACTGCTCCATAGTACTAACCAACGGCCTTCCAACGTTTTTTGGTGGACTCTAACGCATAACTTGTGCCCCACTGTTTTCCTTGTTTCCATTTTAATATTTTCCTTGGCTCACCATCCGAGTACTTCTCTAGATCTGTAATGAACAATAATTATACTCACCATCTTCAATGTAGACATGTTCTAAGTTCGATCTTTCATTACAGCCAGCACTGATCACGTCCGCAACTGTACAACGGTCATGTGTGCTGATGTAAACGAATAGCAGAAGACTGATATGTCTGGCAGAGGAAGGCATTGCTCCTCCGTGCTGTAATGCGTTCGCTGTTAACCTATATGGCAGATTTCAGAGAAACGCAGCATCTGAATAAGACGATCATAGTGAGCCAACTGTATTCGTGCACAATCAACGACAATCTGGTTGCGGGCAATAACCTCCATTTCAACAAACAAAAGATGAGGACAGTGCCTGTCATTCAGAGGTACCATTGGACGGCTTGTGATGTTACTTTCTCTTCAAGTGTCACCAATACGCAATCGCTACACCGAATATCATGATATATCCAGATATCGAGACCAGATACATGCAACTGCTACGCCAGGCAGCCTTGCTGAGCCATCGATCGCGTGTGAGTGTTTTTATTCTCTTAAAAAGACATTTTCCGCCAAACATTATGTCAATTGAGTCCACCAAATCTAGGAGCTATTAATTTACTTAGTTATAATACATGTGGTAGTTTGGAGGCGGTGAAAAACAGTTTCGCAACCAGTACCTTCGTATGCAAGGACGCAAATCCACACAACTAAGTAGACACATCCTTCTATCAAACGTTTTCTTTCCCTTCTCTTCAGGATAGTGCAGGGAATGTTAGAAATTTGGAAAACACATAACTATTATAGAGAAAGAAAGAAAAACGTCAACACTTCAACATAGAAGTGGAAGGTCTAACATCTTGCTGTGGTAGAAGCTCTGAATATTCGTAAACTAGATCCAGAACTATGTGTACAGAAGGAGAATGTGTTATCGTTGCAGTTGTTTGGTGTCACACCTCGTGAAAGTGTGACAAGTGTTTCCTGATGTGTTCAGCGTGTTTGTCTACAACTTGCAGCTCTTGTTTTTGAGTTTTTAACACTTTAATCATTTTACCGCCTATGTTGAAGTGTTGACTTTTTCTTTCTTTATCTATATAGTGATGTGTTTTCCAAATTTCCAACATTCCCTGTACTATCCTGAAGAAAAGGGAAAGAAAACGTTTGATAGAAGGAAGTGTCTACTTAGTTATATACATGTATAGCTATTACATGTATTAATTTATTATACTTATAACTAAAAGTCGGCGTGGAGACAAGAAACCTGATATCGACGAACGTAAAGTGAGCGCACTCATACCACGAGAACAATGGAACAATATGCTACAAAAGGAATAGAATACGGAGCTTGCGTTGTCTGTCACTCCGAGTTTCACGCCTATGGCGATCATCAGACAGCAATGATTACAAAAACTCAATGAATGTTCTTGATATAGGGTGGTAAGGTGCCAGTGGAATCAGAGAATTTAAGCGCAAATAAGGTCAAGCGGTGATTCTATGCATGTACTTGCAAGATTAGCGCCAGACATCCTCTTTCTTTCGAGGACCACACCCAACTTTCCGTGTGTGGAACAATATGCTATTATTTGAACGTCCTACCTGTAACTATTATCTTTTTCAAAGTGCGCAGACTCCAATGCAGCCATAGCTGTTGCCTATTGTCCCGTAGTATAATGCATGTACATGACTGACTGGTAAGTTGTAGTTGTAGTGGGTTGTGTGAGTGCTGTTGAGTGGCACTAATGGAGTAATGCTACATGACTGTACGACTTTGTGATATGTTTGGCCTCACCTCTGCACTGTTTCACACACAATCCTGATCACATCAGTTGCTTTTTAGTTTAATCCAAGCAGTAAATGGCTGGGGTAGCCAATGACCACTTTGCGTGGCGATTGCAGGTTTTGTTTATAACCAATCACAATGTTTGAAGTGATGTAAGTGTAAGTTCATCATTTTCTCACCATACTGATGTTTTCGTGCCATAGTGGTAATCTTCTCGCTGGATGTACTTGGATGTACAAGTAGTCTGAGTACGTTCACGTACATGTACATGTATATTAGGTTCACCTCACTGTCTCTAGAAAATAGTTATCGGGTCAATCTAGAAACCCTATCCATGCAGATACATGCCATTGTACTGGTGTCTACTGTGACGGATGTATACTGCGATGGTAATCAGTGTAAGGAGGGACATCTATAAAGCACCCGTATCCCCTACAACAGCAGTGCAGTGGTCAGGCACATCTGAGGGGCAGGATATGACGACTATGCTTACTGATCGAACGACCGTCGCTACACGTATCGCACTATAAGGAGATCTACAGCATGGCGGACCAATCTCGCTGACTAAGTCTTGTCCAGGTATATTTTAACTGAGTTCAATAGATGTACAGTACTAGCATTACTAGCATTACATGTGCTGGTGTAGTCTGCTCTTCAGGCTGGTATTATTTGTTCTTCTAAGCAGTCACAAACGGTGAGAGGTCAGGGTTACACAATTTCGTCTGGACCACGTGTCCGCAACAGGTCGTTAAGGATGACGGATTAATACAATGATATGCACATTATATAATTGGTGGAAGGAGGCATTTTGGCTCCACAGGGAACACTGCAATGAAATGGCACTTCAGTTCTTCAAGAAAGCAGCACCAATTGCAGATTTCTATCTCCAACCAGATTGGATCGAATCTTGGAAAACGAAGAAAGGATTTGCTATGGTTTCAGACGCATACAACTCAGACATAGCTAACAGACAAGCACACTGACTGAATTCGAGCTAGGAGAAACTAACGTGAACAGTTACAAGTGACCCTATATGTAGGGGGTTACTTACAGCACAGCCTGGAAGCAGCCTATCCGTGTAGATGAAGATCAGCCAGTTGGACCCACGACAACTCTGTGGCTCTGGAGACGAATCACTTGGTCACTAGTCAAGTATCTTAGTATGTAAGGCAGTGAAGAATATTTTGTAGATTACCAATACTCCCTTATGCACTGGCGATAACCAATATTCCTTATGCACTTGCAATAAGCAATGAAAGTCTGTCTCTTGAAACAGGACAATTCCGAAATAATATCACCAATGCATCAGTTGACTTGTGGTCTGTTGATCTCTGAGGAGCAGCTGATTTAGCAGTGCATGCTGTAGTCAACTAACTTTCATGACAAGCTAACAATCATGCATGCACTGTAGAGCATTGTGCAATGCGTTCTATGACAACAATGCATTTGAACCATGCGTAAAGACAGGTGCGTCCTCTTTTAGTGTGCCTTGTGGATAGGGGGTTTCACAATTTTATGATACAATCTGCCTCACTACTGCCAAACCACATGGGACCAGCTCCAACATCACCTGTGGCCAATGTAGACTCATATCAAAACCGGCAAGTCATTGCAGATATTCACATGCATGTGCACACACGGTGATTCTGCGAGGTGCCAGCAAGGTGGTATTGGCTTCATGTCACCGACACACTTGCATGCATTACCGTCTGTCCCGCACCATGCAGTCATGCACACATAAATACAGGTACCCTGCAGCTTGTAGCTCTTGAACTTCGAGCTCATCATCAACAATAGTTGTTCAGCCACACACATCCTCCTATCGTCGGGCGGGCGGCACCACTACAGGCTGTACTTGTGCCAACAAATCACAGAAGCCTGTATCCGGCGCATTGTGTAAATGGCGTCCGGACCAACCTCCCGACCCAAGACAGGTAGCGGCTGCTGTCATCTAGTTTGCTGCCAGTGGTATCACTGGTCCGCGCCCTCTCCGCGGCTTCGAATTTCCAATGATTACTTCCACATGTACTTGAAGTTGAAGTACAATGTAGAATCGTGATTGGCTTTCTGAGTTGCCTTTGGCCGGAACTGAACGTTCATACACATAATATTCTATAGCTACGGGATTGTTCACTGATGCAGGGTGTAGTGCAGGGTGTAGTGCAGGGTGCAACTTGGGATCTACTTTAATAACGCTACCTCACCGGGAAAGGGCAAACGGGACATCATGAGAAGGGCAATGAAGAGCAATGGGAAAGTGGGTGCTACAGAGTAGCCGTATTGGTGAATCTGGAGGCACTCAACTGCCCATTGTCATGGGTCTCAGCACTAGCATGTCACGAGAACTGGATTTCATTAAGCATACACCACTAGACTATACTAGCCTAATGTATTTTCTAGTTCTGGACTTTGGCCTGCCAAACACACGAAACCCGCTGCCTGCTGCAAACATGGCAGACGTACGCACAAAGGGCCAACAAGCCCCCAAACGACAGAGGAGACAAGACTGCAGTTATCACGGTGTGAAGCTTGTACATGAACGCTTGTGCATTACATTGTCATCATCACAATGTGTCTGTAAGTATGTAACATTGATTGTTCATACACAGGAGAGATAGTGAAAATGCTACCATTACCATACAAGTAGACTAACGATACGAAATGGTGATTGTTGGACAAACGAGAAGGTAGTAGAGGCTGCTTTCTGTATTTTTAAAACACGTTTCTTTGCTTGACCATGTAGTGTAGTTGATAGTCAATTTTTAATGCTAGAACTATGTGTGAACGAACTGAATAGGAGAGGTTGTTAAAAGTCATGTGACTATGGCAACCTTATCATCTGCCATTTCTTTGTAGTGAACTGATGCTGGCTGAGCCTCTCCCGACACGCTGCACTGGCTGCGACGGAGAAAGCGACCCAAGGGGTGATTCCCTTGCTCGCTCTTGTCTTGCTGCCGCCTATACCTGTGAAAACAATGAGCATTGAGCAACCACAATTCTGTATATCACACTCGACAAGACCCTGACCATCAACCATCATGCAGTCATCCGTGATTTGAGATATTGATCTCTTTGAAAGGTTTCAGTTTGATATTTTGTTTTTACATGCACATACTTGTTAATTCTCCTGTTTAGCCGCATTATGTACATGTTTTTTTTGTTTGCTTGTACATGTTTACTTTACATGTACGTGTACATGTACGTGTACAATTAATGTATAGAATGATGGCAGCAACACCTTGTGCACTCAATCCTCGCAAGACTAATGTCGTAATGAGGTGAGGTTTCTGTTGCACTGAAAGCAATCCCGGCTCCTCTCACAATCTGCCAGCATCTGTAGTACAGATTCCCTAGGTGGCTTGTGCAGCTTCACTCACCCTGGGGTTAATAGCAGACACCAGTTGCTTTGACTTTTACATCTACACTGTAACTTGTTTCATAACCACACGGTTATGGAAATCATGTCATCATTACGTTACCATGGTTTCTGCGTCGAAGTGAATACGATTGCAGAGAGGCTGAGCCATTACGGACTTGCGGCTGTAGCAAAGTGGTATAATAATATTATGTTCCTGCTTGTTCTGTATTCAGGTTACTATTTGTGTTGGCCAAATTAGGTGAAGCAAATCCATGTTCAGTTCAGACATGTTTGAATTACTTTGAAGTATTATACATGTAGCTTGATAACTTGATTTATATAGCATTTAAAGGCAGCTAAAATGTAGCTGTTTCGGCCTGTATCTTGGCATGCAGTATTCCATGGTACATATGTACAAGTTCATAATAGTTCACGATCTACATACCTGTGCACCAAGAAAACCAGTAGTATCAAACACACCAGGAGGCAGGCACAGCCAACGCTCGTCCCAATTAGCTGCTCTGTATCTAGGCCTGTAGAATATCGTCACGGAACACGAAACACATACCAAGCGCAGATTTTATACCAAGCGCAGATGTTATACATGTGCTGACGTCGTTAGCCTGTAGATGTGCAATGATCAGTTTGAGCGCTCTGGCAAGGCAACTCCATTCTAGGGTGTTCTTTACACTTGCGAACACTTCCATCGTTTGCATTGCATTGCAGGCTCACAGCTTCACGGAATAGAAAGGTAGATTTTCTATTCAGTGCACCTAAGAGCTTGTGCTAGTGTGCGTAAGATAGAGCTGCTCTCTATGCGATGTACATGTATATTTATTTGTTACGAAAGCCAAATGCATGTTTGTATCCTCCAGAAGGGGAAAAAGTAATCATAAAGCCATTATAAGATCAGATCAATGCCCTTGTAATATGAACCATAAAATGATCTATTCTAAAATATTAGAGTATACGGCAAAGAAACGGTGCTCACCCTTTGTTGCCTTGGCAGCCAGTGGTATGTTAGCAGTGGTTAGTGTTGTCGTACTCGTAGTCTGCAGGAAAAGAGCAATGTATATACATGTACATGGCACTCATTATAGACTGATATTGATACGTATATCCATTATCACTTACAAAGTCATGCAAGGTAGTAAAACTGTAGTTATCATCAGTTCAGCCACATAGCTTCACAATACCATGTGTAATTGTTAAGTGGCGTTGTGCTTATGCCGTACAGTACCTGCATAACTGCACATTAATTCTTTCCAACAACGTGTGTCAGAATCTCTCAATGGTCAGTACCTCTGTCTGCCTTTCTCTTTATAGCTATCTATCTATCTATCTATCTATCTATCTATCACGCTCCTCGGCTTTCGCCTTGTTGAGCACTCTCAGTAGGCTGCTCTAGTGCTGCTGCATCGCGCAATGCCCGCTACATTTTGTAGTTTGAGCACTCTGGCGCTAGAGCGACGAGCTACCTTAATGTCTGTGGTGCCTCCTTTGCACCATGGCTGGTAGCTCGGCCTATTTAGCTCGTAGCTGTACTGATGAGGCCTTTATGGCCGAAACAGCTTGCTGTCTACAGCATTGGGTATCTATCTATCTCTATACCTCTCCCTATTTATAACGTTATTATCTACACAAGAGAGAGAGAGAGAGAGAGAGAGAGAGAGAGAGAGAGAGAGAGAGAGAGAGAGAGAGAGAGAGAGATAGAGAGAGAGAGAGAGATAGAGAGAGAGAGAGAGAGAGAGAGAGAGAGAGAGAGAGAGAGAGAGAGAGAGAGAGAGAGAGAGAGAGACAGACAGACAGACAGACAGACAGAGAGAAGGGAAGCTGTGTTGTGTTGCTGTGTTGCTCCGAGTTTCACGTAGTCACGATCATCAGGCACGGAAGGTCCTCGCAATGGTGATGGTTGTGTGCAGGAGGGTCTAGTCGGTTAAAGAGCGCAGTTTAAAATGGTGGAGGTGACTCAACATTTTCTTCAATGGCCGAGAGCTCTGTCGCACCCTGTGATAGGACCCTGTAATAATGTTATTATTCATCTATTAAATCTGTATCTGTATCCTTTTGGCAATCATGATAATACCGTGCATCTAGGAAGGATCACTCACGGTTGATGTGGAAATGTCTTGGATGGAGCTAGAATTGACAGCTGAACTTAGCATTTCAGGACCAGGGCGAGTCAAGCTAGGACATAGAGGACCTATAAAAAAGATTTCACAATGTACATGTAGATCTTTTGGTATTGCTGTAATATGCACCGACAATGCTACATAAATGGTAGTGGGACAAAGCAAAGGAAAAGGATTTTCCTAATTTTTGTCTGATAACAAGGCATTGTTTGATTTACGAAGAGGAAAGTGAAGAAGAACCCGCCACACCAGCTGAAAACGCAAATTATTGATCCTTGGAAGAGATATGTTTGAACAAAGTAGATCTAGAAGCGTTATTACCACAACATATTTTTCAGACCAGAAAGAGAAAAGGTTTACTTTGTCTCTTATACGTTTGCCTACTGCTTAGCAGTGTTCGTCAAGCTCACCGTCTGTGCTGTTTTCGCAATCGCAGGCATATCCTTCCCAGTCCAGTGTGCTGCGACACATGTAGTCGTCTGGGCATGGGCTGGATGCGCAGGCATCATGACGATCTGTACGCAAGTCATGATCGGACAAGACTCTACATAATCATAAAAGCAATAGTGACAAGTCTGAGAAAGACATGTAGGCAGGCGTCCATTTGCCGCCGTGTGTTTCAACACCACTTCTCAACTAAACGTCCGTCCGCCTAGACTCTAGGTCTGCACTGTATAACATGCCTGCTGGCACCATGACAATCTGTATCTCTATAGGCTGTAATGAAGATATTGCATATCCAGGGCCATACAATAAGTGCTTGACAATGATGTAGGATCTGCAAAAGGTACTCTATCTTTACAGTTCAGAAGTGTCAATCAAAATCACAGGTGTGCAACCACCCCAACACACAAACTATTTTCAGCGCAGATTGAGTATTTTGCTCCTGCTATTGTAGCACTCTCATATGGGGTAGTGCCTTTGCTGTTTGCGCCATGCAGAGCTCACTGACTTGTCAGTTTGAGCACTCTGGCAGGGTACGTTCGGGCCTGGTTTAAATCTGGCTAGGGAAAATCTATTTTTCATTGCTATCAGGTTCGGCCTCATTTTCTCTGTGCTGCGCTGACGAGTCCACAAAGGACGAAACAGTTCTGTCCGCAGGTTGAGTATTATTAGTTTTTAAACATGTATGCACACTATGCTCACATACACACATGTACATGCACATACACACTTGCATGCACTTGCAAAGGCAACATACTGTGCCATAATCTGAAGCGCACACACTCCGGTGAGCCTAGAGCTCTCAACATCACCAATATTGGCAATGACACTTTGATCGCGGCTGAACTTACGAGCGATTTATCTCAAGAACCGTTGATCGCAGCGCGTCGCGGATGGGTTCTACGGCACGCTGAGCGTTTTCTCTTCGAGGTAGATATTTGGATCGTTGAATTTGAGCTAGCTTTGACCGAGTGACGGCCTGTTGAAGTCTCACAGTCGAGTGTGTAGAATTCTACACATTCAAGTATGGGCGGCTCTCAAAGGGTTAAAGCAGTTCTGTGGGGTGGATTACCCTCGCACCCTGGCTACTGTTTACAAATTCACACCTTCCACTTACCAATCTATACTTTCCGCGCTAATAGATCCCTCATCTAAGTGACCATCCACACAACTATCATGGCAATATTTCTGTGCTGAATCAATATCCACTAGCTATCACCTAACTATGCTGTATATTGGCCAAGTCCCACTGCATACGTTGTTGTTGTTGTTGTTGTTTTCTTTATTTGAATTCGCTAAAACCAAACGGACAGAACTGTCCAGTGACAAGGGAGCGAATGATGAGCGTCATAATCACTATGCATCAAAACATCTCAGGACAAAATGAGACAGACTATAATTATTAAAGGAGGGTCTGCACAACACTTGTACATAAAGGGGAGTACGAGAACAAAGGCGCGGCAGAAGTCGAAGCAAGAAAACGTCATAAGTCGCCTGATGATTGCATTGTGCAAGAAACTCTGAGTTGCGACAAATAACCTCCGTTGTGCCTTTTGTGTGTAAGTACTCCACGTCATTGTGTTGAGGGGGGAATAGTACTCCACGTCATTGTGTTGACGGGGGAATAGTACTCCACGTCATTGTGTTGACGGGGGAATAGTACTCCACGTCATTGTGTTGAGGGGGGGGGGGGGGAATAGTACTCCGCGTCATTGTGTTGACGCCTCTCCACTGGCAAAAGGAAGTTTTCCTCTTTGAAGTGTCAATCTTGTACCATAATATTGTTGGCACATGTAAAATTGTATTCATATTCATAATGATCACGGGGGAATTTGAAAGGTGTGCGAAATGCCTTCACAGTATCCTCGCCTGACCATCACTGTTGAGATCGTTATGATCAAATCACCCGCACCGAGGAATTACCAATGTCTACAACACTGCGGAGTCGTGTTGCTGGTGAAGTGAATATGGTCGACCAGGACTCAGAGTTTGAACTAAGCTAATGCCACATAAGTGAAATATCTGCAGGTAATATTAGACATTGATTCTAACTTCGATCAAGCAAAGATAAGTATACTGTTATCCATTTCCTTATCAAGCCAATCCAATTGTCTTGACAGGTGCAGCTTGCACCCCTCACCAGACCCTGTCGGTCCCTGACAATATTAAGGTACAGGTACACGAACGCAGTGGCTCTCTGACATTCTGCCCCCCCCCTCCATTTGAAGCACTTACCCACGCATGCTCTGGAGTTGACTGCCAGATACCTGAATCTCTTTCCTCGGCAATGAAATCCATTACCCAAGTCTCTGAAAGCGCACCCTGGCGTCACCGTGCCGTACGTACAGTTGGCATCACAGTATCGATTCGTGCACTCCAGACACATTCTGTGATCGTCAAACAGCTGAATCTGGTATGGCGAGCAATCCTCAAGAGGAGAGAACTCGAAAGCCTGCAGGATAAATGCGCATACAAGTTAAGAATGTGTGTAAAGACAATGAGATGACACTACTCGAAGAAACTGAGTGAACCACATGACGGATCTGATGAGAGAGAGAGAAAGAGAGAGAGAGAGAGAGAGAGAGAGAGAGAGAGAGAGAGAGAGAGAGAGAGAGAAAAGAGAGAGAGAGAGAGAGAGAGAGAGATAGAGATAGAGAGAGAGAGAGTGAGGGGGTAGAGAGACAGAGACAGAGGGACAGAGAGAGAGAGGGACAGAGAGAGAGAGAGGGACAGAGAGCACGCTGTGTAGCGACTCTGAATTTTACGTTAGGATTTGTAGTTTTGCTTGATGATCGAAACTTTTTTAAGTGAAACTCGGAGTTGCAACACAGTTTCCTCTCTCTGCATCTCTTCTATTATTCATCTCTCTCTCTCTCTCTCTCTCTCTCTCTCTCTCTCTCTCTCTCTCTCTCTCTCTCTCTCTCTCTCTCTCTCTCTCTCTCTCTCTCTCTCTCTCTCTCTCTCTCTCTCTCTCTCTCTCTCTCTCTCTACAACTCTTCGGGTAGTGGAGCAACCTAATTGATTACGTACCAGCATGTTACTTTCACATGATGCTGTAATTCTGAAGCCAGCATGCATATCCGATACACACCCTAGTGCTATGGTTAATTAAGGCTGTCAAGAAAGATGGTTAGTGAACATGCATGCATGCGTAGTTCCTAGCCATACCGGGTGGTCCATGTGACAGTGATCCTGCGCAAAGCACTGGTATCTGCGACCATGAACGAAATGCCACTGGATTTCTAAAAGAGTGGAATGCAAACACAGGCGATCAGCAAGGTTGGTAGCAATTTATTTATCCTCAAATTCGAATGGCGCGTCATTGCGAAATCACTCCCTTTACATAGTTGTGTTAGATGCCTTCTGCAATACTCCCTTTTCCCTGAACTGAAACATAATTACTGGTATGGGGATGAAAGACCTAAAGGCAAAAACAAATGTGTTCCAGACTGTATACGGCATTTCTGCACAACTAAAGACCCCACGATCCCATGAGTGACACACAAACACACGCACTGGCACGCACACACATGTACACACATCAACACACACCCACACACACGCACACATACACACATAATTATACAAACACGCTCACACACACACACACACATACGCTCATACACGCACGCACACACATGTACACACTTCAACACACACACACATATACATGTACACACTAACACACACACACATACTTCGAAGTACATAACTGAATTGTAGACAAGTGACTTACTGAGACATCGCTTATTTATGGGCCAATACTGGCCGTTGGAAGGACATTGCGTACAATCAGTTTCATATGGACCAGAGCACTCTGTGCACGATTCGTGACATTCTGTAAAAATACATTTAAGATATACATGTATAGCACGGCGCAGTTCATGTCATGATTATAACGATATTCGTAAACACTAACAGAATTTGGTTAGATTTGCTATTACACAGTACGGGATCAGACAGTGTTGTCTGTCTTCTCGTGTCTGGTACGTCATAGTCATAGTGTGGTTTCAGGGAGAGATCGTGTTGACACAAGTCCACACTCTGCATCCTACTGTCTACATGTAGATCCATCAATCCTTGGAAAGCACATTGCTAGTGTAACATTTGTTTGTTAATAACTTAAAATCAAGTAGCGTTTGTTAATAACTTTTTTAACATTTTACTTGTAGGCATTACGACATAAAAAAACCCGTGGCCGTCCGCCATTGCGGTGGATAGATACGATTCGGCACGACCTGAAGGCAGCGGATCTCTCCGTGGAGAGTGCTCTCCAAGCTGCAGGAGATAGACTAACTTGGCTTGACACTGTTGACAGATGCGTCGACTCTGCTCCTGTCTAACAGGTTCGGGGAAGATGCGAGCTGTGTTTATTATTATTATTGTAGGCATTGCTAGGCCAGCATTACATATGTACCGTACAGAAGTGTTTAATTAAACCATTGCACTTTTATGGCTCTACGTTTTATGTTATCTTCTCTTAACATGAATTATTAGGAATAAAGAATTGGAATTTGGCAGTCGCGGCGGTTCACCAGTACACGAGGAAGCAAGCATACACACATCACATGCTCCATACATTATGATTGATATGCTTACTTTCACATTGTCTGATTTTGTAAAATCGCTTGTTTGGTACCAGGTGGCCAAAGGGACCGTGCTTGCACGTGTAGCGACATTCGTTGGGAAACAGATTGTGAAGAATACAGTCGTGGGCATCATCTGCGCACCCTGGACAACCACCGGTGCAATTCTGACATCCATGAGTGAATTCCTGCAGAATAGGAGTAAAATGAGGTCAGTTTAAGACTTTTACTTTTAAATAGCAAAGGGAAATATCTGTCCTGATTGTTTAAATGTAGTAAGTACGGTGTAAGTAAAGTTCACACATCCGCGTTACAACCGGCTATACAATAGTACTGATAATCACAATCAGCTTAGGAAGTTTCGCCTGTGCCAGGCTACCACAATGCCTGTGATACCAGGGTGGCAGATGCAGGCAGTGCCTAACGACGAGGGTGAGGTGGGAAGTTTCACAACCAATTCACGACAAGGGGGCGAACCTCGTTAGTTGCATCCATGTTACCCTCACTCCGAGTTGTGAGATGTACTATCCTTTATAAATAATTTTTCGGCTCATTCTAGTTCTTCCCTACCTCATACAAGTAGCTATTGCTCCTCTCAACTGTCCTTCCCCAGGTGACTCTCTTTATACGAGGCCATTCAGTTAGCATTTCGAGAGACATTGAAATCACACATGTCAAGTCACGTCAAATCGGATCAATCAAATCAATCGGCATTGTACAAGGACGAAGTGACCAGGTGAGAATGGGAGCACACAACGTTCGCGGTCGCGTGTGTCACCTTTACTTTTTAGTCTATTTGCTAGAGAACTCACTCTTTCGTAGTACCCAGCTGGACATAGGTTTGGGGTGTGTGGATCACGGGCACATTCGGTTTGACAGTGTCCAGCAGCACGGATGTGGTATCTGACAGCTCCACCTGGATAGGATAGGCCCATGACGCAGCCATTATGGAAAGAGGAAGGAAGTTACTAGTACCTTGATCCATCGCTGGTACTGAGAGAGGGAACACGGTCTAAGTCAAAAGTAAGTGGCTTATGGTAGCCTCTCTCGTATCAGTACATATCATGGCACGCTCCGGGGTTGGTTCTAATTCGTGTCTTAACTTTTGAGTTCACAACAAACGGTGCACAGAATTGAGTACACATGTACTTGAACATCAAAAATACACATAGGCAGTGCGCCTTAACTTCATGATGTAAAATAATTCTTAGTTTTAAAGCCCTTACTAAGAGTTTTGTAGAGTTTGAACATACCTGTACAATTGCACATGTACTAGTACACTGCTGACTAAATATGAACTACTAGTATAGTGAAGTAGGCCAGCTGTTACGTTACCATGGTTCATGCACTGGCTTTAGTATACTGCATTGGCCTTCTCAGAGGCGTGCATATAGGCACTGATACCGGAGGGCTAGAACCTATAAGCTGCCTCTAATAGCAATCATACATGCCTGGCAATGTGCTACCTAAGCCAAGACGATACTAGTAGTAGTATGCTCTCAGTCTTACCACTTGCAATATAGGCATGTTCTAAATCCTCGCCGGCTTTGCAGCCTGGACTGATGACATCATCGGTAAGAACTCCAATCGACAGCAGCAAAGCCGTCAGTAAGTAGCCTAAAATTCGGTAAGCGGTCACTCGAATCATTATCTCACTCCGTTGAAACGTCAGTCTGTGAGGAAGATAGCGAGCAAGAGAAGGTGCCTTGTATTGGCTGGTGAACGAGGTCGTCACTACACGTACATGACACAGTTCCAAACTCAACCATGTCAGTATCAATACACTTATTATGGAGTCGAATGGAGGTTGGCTAGTAATAGGAAATACGCACACTGAGAATGAGATGCTGCGACTTTCGGTGGTAATTGTAGAAGAAGGTGGCTACCCCAAACGTTGGCGATCGCGCTTCCTGCCGACTGATTGACACTTGACGGACTCATGACTGCCGTCTGTAGCACCCGAGACCCGGCATTCTTCTCGTGTGCTCCAGACGGCAGTTGTCAGTCAGTGAAGACAGTGCCAATTAGTCGGCAGGAAGCGCGAGCTCCAACGTTTAGATTAGCCACCGTCTTCTATTAGTATAGGGATTAGGAAATACATGTTTGCAGCATCCATCAGTTGCTTCATTTCGTGTTCCATAATAATTATCATAATAGCAGACCTCATTCTTGACCAAAGGCATATCTGAGAGAAAACACGCCAAGCTTCAAGATCAAAACAAAAACTCGTCTTCCAATGCTACTTTGAAGGCTCTTCGTAAGGAAGATTGTTACTGACCATTATCAGCACAAGGACGCTGTTCACAATGTAGATTTACCTGATTTCGGCTCGGTAGTTCTGCAATCCCGAAACAAACTGTCCGAAGGACTACTAGATACTGTCCGTAGTACCTTTCTTTCCCCGAGGCTATAAACTACCCCATGTGCTTTAAAGTCGTCTTTTCTAGGCCAGAGTATATTGTAGTCTATTTCACTTTCAATGACAATGAACTCGTGTTGTATACCTAGACTTTCGCTGGTGATGGACTTTCGATGGTTGACAGCGGACAGCGAATCTCCGTCACACTGCGTGGTTCATGCTGCAGGTAAAGGAAGCGTTCCAGACTCGTGTTCATGGTCTTTCCCCGCAAGTAACAGTCAACCCATTTGCAAACTCCGCTGGTGGATGCTACTAGAGTTTGTATGAGCCATGCTGTCACTTCCTACGTCTGTGCGATGTGTTGGCCCACAATGCATCCTACTGTGTCCGATATTTGGTCCAACTCACTATGCAAGGCGATGTCTGACAGATGGTGACGATCTTCTCATGATAATAATTTACACCGACTCTCCATCCCCCGTATCCATCCGAACAGAGTAAATAGTCAGGTTTTGAAAGAGTGCGCAGTTCACACCGACGGAGGCCATACTCGGGGCAGACCAAGTATCGAAATGCAATCCGCAAAGCTGGGCAAACTCCGCAAAACTCTCCATACGTCGCTCCAGCCATTGTCCGTGGCCGTGGAGCGGTTTTAGCATCGCTTGGCAACAACTGCTGACTACGCTCGCCTAGATATCGGTGTCAGCAAGAGTACATGAAAACCGGAGTGTGCAGCTCGGATGGGTTGCTGTCACGGCGAAATTCCGTGATTACATCATTTTAGTGATGTAGTGCGTACAAGCAGGATTCAAGCAGGTCTCTTTCTGCACAACTGCAGCTCAGTTGTACGCACTACGCCATTTCCCGCCTCAGATCTGCACCAAATATGATGTAATCACGGAATTTCGCCGTGACAGACACCCATAGCAGAGAAGGCCCCAAACTGCACGCTCTGGTTTTCATGTACTCTTGGTGTCAGTGGATTGTGGGGCAGCTGTTTTGAACGCACCTTAATTGATGTATACTAGTATGGGTATTTAACCCACATGCGTTGTCGACCCATGCTGCACATCTTCCCACTGTCTATTGAAATCATGAAAATGCTGAGAAGAAAAGACGCTATGGAGACTGCGTGAGGAAGTTCCGAACGTTGAGCAGGCATCATTAAATTTTGTTTCGTCTGGAGGTTTCAGTCGTGCGGCGGCGGCTTTATATGAGAATAGCTAGCCTGCGCTCAGACAACCAGTCCCAGCCTTACAGCCATGCCATGGCTTTCATTCGATGCAGGATTTCGTTTGCTGTGCGGCTTTCTTGCATTGCTCTTTTTTGCGTGGCTCTGTTAGGCATCGTGCTGTCGCTAATGAGTTATCCCACACGCTTGCAGTGTCGGAAGCTCACATCTCGCGAGACTAGTTATCATTCCTCGCTTCCTGCCTGCTCGTTTGTTGCTTTCTTATAGTGTTCATGCTTGTTTCTCACAAAGAGAAAAAGGACCAATAAGTTACGAGTTATGACTAACAGTCCACCAAGGTAACAAGATCTTATACAGTCAGATAGTGTGAGGCACAAAACTGACAAGGATATTGAGACATTTCAACCACCTCGCACCTAGCTCCAACACATCTCCTAAGCGCAAACCAACATTCTTCCAACTTGGAAGGCTCCGGTGCGGAGAGTTTTCAATGAGGGGAAGGGGTGCGCCACGAAGATGTGCACGAGTTACCGTATGTCTCTCGGCAACAATGATTTTATTTCGAATGTTTTGTTATCTGTCACTGAGGTAATCTGTTCACTGTGAGATGCTCAGACCAGGAGACTGCAGGTCCTCCATTATCGGGCAGCCGAACTGTCTATGGTGTACCCATACCATGCGACAATCAGCTGAGCTGAGCCTACTTTGACCCGGCTCAAGTATCACAGCACTTCAACCAGAACACCTTAGCTCTTGTGTGGAAGAGCTTACGTCATGGTGAGACATCGCAGTCTGTCACGCAACTACTGACTCCGGAAATGACCAGAGAAACTCGACTTCAGTATCAGGATGGACAGGGTATACCAGTTGCAAGAATGAACGCTGGCAAGTCGAGGTACGCCTTCAGCGCTACAAATAGGTTTGTTTGTTTGTATACTTTATTTAGAGTGGGAAGTCCAAAACAGGCCCTAGCCTAATAACAATGGTCCCACTAATGATACACCAGGAGAGTAGTAGTACAGTACCAGGAGACGTCCACTCCATCACAACGCTGGAGAGCTTCAAAGCTACAACAATTGTCAACATTACCTTTCTCAGTCAGTAGTCCTGACTAAGTGCTGAAGTGTTCGTATTCTGGTATTCTTCTGGTTCTCCATTTTTAGCTCATTTCCTGCATGTTGAGGTTGCGCTTGTGTGTATTTTGCCCGTACAAAAGGCTTGGGCACCCTGTTATAAAAAGTACTGTTTACGCATACAATTGTTTTCATTTTTTGGTGTTGTGTTCTAGTCATTCACCATGTCACCGTGAATTGTATTCTGTTGTGTTCTAGTCATTCACCATGCCACCGTGAATTGTATCCTGTTGTGTTCTAGTCATTCACCATGCCACCGTGAATTGTATTCTGTTGTGTTCTAGTCATTCACCATGCCACCGTGAATTGTATTCTGTTGTGTTCTAATCACTCACCATGCCACCGTGAATTGTATTCTATTGTGTTCTAGTCATTCACCATGCCACCGTGAATTGTATTCTGTTGTGTTCTAGTCATTCACCATGCCACCGTAAAAGAATATCAGGAAGTAGTTTTTGGGGACGGTTGGCGGTTTTCGTGCTCTGAGGATCAGCCTCAGCGGCACTCCTACAGCATCCCTTAAGCAGTGACCAAACCTTTGTGTACCTTACGATGTCACTTGATGAGAATCTAGACCTAGCCCTGGTGGGATTCAAGGACCTAATTGACCTGGGCGAGCGGAAATCAGTAGACCAACCCTCAAGCCTTTCTCGCCCGGAACTCGTCAAAGAACTCCGGAAGATGGGCGTGGGAGTGCTGCCGCAGCCAGCAAGTCCAAACGGTACGTTGGAACAATTGTCTAGCCTTGTATCATGTGTTTCAACCTTGTCCAAGGAGATTGTTATGTCGAGGGAAGATAGAGACAGCACAATGTTGGCCCTGAAATTGGAAATCCAAGAGCTGAGGCGTGAAATAGTAGAGCTTCGTCAACAGAAGTGTTCCATCCCTGACCCCTTACCACACACCGTACCCACGTACACATCCCAACAAAACGTGGCCATGGGACCTCCAGCTGCGAAGTCCTACAGTAATACCGTACGCACCCAGCATGCTGCAACACCACGAGGTACAAGTCCAAGTAGTACCCAGACCCAGCCTGCCCAACAAAGCCCAATGTGTGCTGCATGCACCAGTGATACTTGTAGTTGTACAGTCCACGCAGCCGACACACAATGCTGTGAAGCAGGGGTCACTGGCATATGTAGTACAGAGCCAACACAGAACACGTGGAAAGAGGTGAACCATAGACGAAAAGGACGGCAGGACAAATTCACGGACAGCGTATCCAAAGCTCTGCGGGCTACTATAACCTCTCGGTACGTGAAGGAATCACCTAACACGGAACCTGCTGATCCGTGCATCCTGACAGGGGTGGTGCCCATCAACAAACTTGTGCTCTACGTTGGAAGCATCAACAGCGGTTGCAACGCTCACTCCATCAGAGACTGGTGCGAAGCGAGGGACGTGGAGGTATTAAATTGCTCCGTCATGGAGTCCAAATACCTTGGCACATCGTATGCCAGAGTCACTGTGGCTGCAGAACATGAAGAGCGTGTACTAGATAGACAGAGCCTTCTGGCCCGAAGCCATCAGCCACTCAGTACGCAAGTGGCGTTTTGCGGACAGCCCCAAAGTGACGAAGCCAGCTCCCAATGCGTAACCTTTATCCCTCCTCTTCCACTTCAACCCCTGCGCCTCTCAACGCTCTTGCCCCACCTTTCTTCCCCCATTCTGTACATGCTGCTACTCACCGACTTACAATCTGTGTCCTTAATGCTCGCTCCATAGCAAACAAGTCTGGCGAACTCATTCAAATCTGTGAAGATCACACACCCAGCGTAGTATGCATCACAGAGACCTGGCTAACTCCCACACAAGCTTTCCACGTGCCACACTATGAATGCTTCCGTCGAGACCGACCTGTTTTAGAAAATAGACAGAACCGTGACCCACATGGAGGAGTTCTAATCTTAGTTCGTGAAGGTCTGTGCACTTCCATTGATCAGCTACCGGATTTTCAGCAACCGGGCTTGGAAGCGCTAGCACTTCGGCTTACACTCGCTGAACATAAGCTTGTCTCACCTTCTGACCTGCCAACAACCCACCTAACAGTAGCCTGTATCTACCGTGCTCCTTCCCCGTCGACGGATGACTTCTCGACTTTTCTCGACCGCCTCCAAATAGCCCTGCAATCAACACAAAGGAAGCCCGAAGCCCTTGTGATATCAGGCGACTTCAACTGTAGGTATTCCGGCTGGTGCTCAACTGACCAAACGGATGCACAGGGTCTGAGTCTTGACAACCTCTTCTCATGCTATAATTTGACCCAATCGGTAACCTTTCCCACCCACCTCCGCTCGAATGGACTTGGCAGCTGTCTAGACCTTATCGCGAGCAACATCCCTAACCAACTCAACCACATTCAACACCTGGCTCCTCTTGGCGCATCAGACCATGCCGTCCTGCTGGCTGAGTTCTCCTCCTCAAAGTCTTCCCCCACAGCAGCCAGCACCTGCCGTAGCCCACCATCTACACAAAAATACAATGTCCTGAGTGCCACGGATAACATGTGGAATGCCATGAATGTTTTTCTCGCAGCTGTACCCTGGTCTCAGGTCCTTGCCTCCCACTGCATCGACACGGCTGTCTCCGCATTCACTGACATCCTTGAAGGTGCCTTGGACCTATATATAGGAAGATCCTCACCTCCTAGTCGGAAATCACGCCACAAACCCTGCCCCTGGATGACTCCATCACTGAAAGCAGCTATTAAAGTCAAGAGCGATCTCTACAGCATCTACCGGAAATACCCATCCCCTACAAATTTCAACAAATACAAACACCAACGTA